CATGTACTTTGTCACTACGTTGCCAAACACTATGTTGTCATCGGCCATGGACGGACCAATTTTCTTGTATTGATCCCTAAAGTACGCTTGCGTGCCGTGAAGGATGAATTCAACAATAGCAACCAATGGAAGTACCCGAACTCCTCGCATTACCCAGTTGTACACCTCTGCCAAATTGGTTGTCATTATGCCATACCGAGATCCATCGGTGTCGAACAATAGAGACCACTTCTCCTTAGGCTCATTCTCATTCCACTGAGTGAAATTTCTGATGGACGACCCTAACCTCCTTCTCATTGTTGGTGGGTCATCATGTAATGCACCAAGAGGTATGGGAGGCTCGTCACCTTCAACTAGTGGTCTGCGAGATTGCTCATCTGTTTGCTTCGTTGTCAACTCATCCAACTTGTCCCACAACTCATTAAATTTCTTCTCTTGGTTCTGTGCACAGAGCCTCTTAAAGAGCTCCATAAGATGCTTGTTCTTGAATTGCTTGTAGAAATTTGCACCCATGTGACGCATGCACCACCGACTCCGAACATCAGGCCACTTAGCTGGAAGTCCCTTCTCATCCCAACCGTTCTGCAAGTAGTCAATAGCCCGCAACATACCCGCATGACGATCATGTATAAGGCAAACGTTGGGCCTCATACGCACCACTGCAATGTGCACTCTCTCTAGGAACCAGTACCAGCTTTCAGTGTTCTCACTCTCTACAAATGCAAAAGCCATAGGTAGAACCTGGTTGTTCCCATCACACCCAATTGCTGTCAATATCTGACCTCGGTATTTACCTGTCATAAAAGTTCCATCTATGCATAGAACAGGTCGACAATGCACAAAAGCATTGATGCAAGCACCCAATGAGAAAAAGGCTCTTTGCAGCACACTCTTTGTTCGATCATCAACCGATGTAAATGTATGTAGGTCATAGTACGTATTATTATTCCTCTGGGCAATGGTGGCTAACAAACGAGGCAAATTATCATAAGAAGCATCAAATGTGCCATACCTCATCTCAATGATCTTTTGTTTGGCTCTCCAGGCCTTTGCATAGCTTATGGTGTACTTGAATTTGTTCTCGATGTGCCTAATAATTGATTTTGGTTCAAAGCCAATGTTACCAACAACACTGCTGTACATCTCACTTGCCACAAAAGCTGAAGTGATGTTTCGGTGATACTTCTCCACCCCTTGTAAGTAGCACTTGTGCTCGGTCACAATGCTAACTTTCCAATAATCATTCCATTTACCCTTATATGCATGGACACGCCACGGACAATCTTCCTTCATGCACCTCACTTCATACACATAATTTGTTGACTTGACCACCCTAAACTCTCTCTGCAAGGAAACTGCCCAATGCTTCACCGCCTCCTTCATCTCATCCTTATGAGCATATCTTGCACCCTCAATTACCTCGTTCTCCTTATACTCCCAGGGTACATGATCACCCTCTGATATAACAAGTCCAGAGAAGTCCTCATTTGCCCAATCAGTGGCCATTACATCACCTTCCTCATCGGATGATGCGTCGTCGTCCACTTCCTCATTATCCGAATCTTCCCTCTCCATTTCATCAACAATTATACCGACTCTCTCCCCCTCATCCGCCATGCCCATAGCCTGCTCCTCCCTTGGTTGATTTTCCTCATTTTGCATCGATGGTCCAACAACATCCCCTGCATTGATAGGACCCTCTACATCTTCGGTTTGCATTGAAACATTTATATCTTTCTCTTGTACCGACACAAATATAACGAGGGGCCATGACCGTTCAAAAGCCATTTCCACATACCGTCTCCAAGCATCAGTGCTGTCCATCGGCATTAGTTCCCAAAAATAACCTTCTGTTGCACGACTCACTACAACTGACACTGACATTGTGTAGACTTCTTGGTCTATTCTAAATCCTCTCAACAACCAACTATAAATTGACTGAAATGTTCTCTCCGCAGGCCTATCGATGCCCTTAGATGTCATTACAAAATCTGACAGATCAACACCATCTGGACCAAATCTAATATTTCCTTCACCGTGAACTATCTGAAATGTGACCTTACTTGACATTGTGCCTGATGAAAACAATAACTGCGTTAACCTCGCATTTCTGTACTACGCCCTAAGTTACATTCTCTACAATATTGTTCTCTAAATTTCTAAAATTACGTTACATTCTCCAGATCAAACTAAACTACATCTTACAATTAACACTACTGTCTATGTCTCAATTCATACTATTATATTCTATGCTCTGTATCTACACATATGTGCTGTGTGCTACAGATGTGCTAAAATATATGGAACTAAAACTAAAACGCAACATATATACTCAAACATAACATATTAGTACAAATGCAAAAGATGTATGGGAGCATACCTGTGATGAATTGAGCGAACCAGCAGGGCTTCGCCGCTCCCCTTCTGCTGCCCTCCCCTCTCTCTCTTTTGTTTTTTTTGGATTTTTAGTGAATATAATGAAATTTCACAGAGGAGGGACTGGGCTTTATAGGGGGAGAGGCAAAAATCGCCCTCCCCCAGGGCGGCAAGGGGGCCGCCTGCAAAATTCCATGCCCCCTCGCCGCCCATTTGCAGGCGGCCCCCCCCACAGTACAAAATCGCCCTAGCGGAGGGCGGCAAGGGGGCCGCCTGCAAAATTCCATGCCCCCCTCGCCGCCAATTTGCAGGCGGCCCCCCGCACAGTATAAAATCGCCCTAGCGGAGGGCGGCAAGGGGGCCGCCTGCAAATTTCGTTGACGGCCGTCGCCCGAGAGCGAACGGCCGTCTGCCACGTCATTTTCGCCGCCCTCTGAGAGGGCGATTTTTAAAAATCGCCTTCCCAGAGGGCGGTAGGCGACTCCTTCCGTCAATTTTCAAAATGGAAAATTATTTTTGTAAAACTTTTAATAAAAAAAATTATAAATAAAAAAAATTCGCCGTCCGCCGCCACCTCCACCGGGAGGGAGACTCTCTCCCTCCCTTCGCCGCCTCATCCACCTGTGTGCCTCCCGTCTCCCGCCTTCTCCACCGCGCTGCGCTGCGCCGCGCGCCACCTCTTGCCGATCGTTTCTGCGGTTGATGATTCTCTGCAGGCGTAGCTCCGTGGGAAGCTGGGCGTTTTCCGGTTGTGGTACTGAACTGCTCATGGGGTGATGGCCAAGTGGCCAACATGATTTTGTGAGAGGGTATTTTGAAGAAAAATATAATTGAAGAAAGTATACTATATATATGTAGTTTGTGTGTGTGTGATGAAATATAAAGTGCCCTTGTTAATACTGGTGGGTTACTGTTAGACAGACACGGTGCTTACATGTGGTTAAGCGCTATACTAAGCACTGATGCTAAAAATAAGCACGCTATCTATGAAGCAAACAAAAGCAGTTACATATTGCTAAGCACATCTGTAAACACTAGCTGATGTGCGCATCGTCGCATCGACGGCTGGGCGGCTGGCCGGGTGCCACTTCTACAGTTCCACCGCTACAGTTCTTTCCCTTCACAAATCACAGTGCAGTCGGAAAATTTACTGTTCCCATCTATTTTTCTTCCCCCTTCCCCCTTAATGCTGTTATTTTCTTGCTGCTGATTGATTGCTCTGGTTGTAGTTCACTCAATGTTAACACAATGTATATTTCTTAGTCTTTACTGGTGGTTAACTAACTCCATTTATCATTGACCATGTCAAACTGTCAGTTAAGCCTCCTTTAATTTGCCTGATGCAGCATGTCTATGCGGTATATATGTATGGTCTTTAATGCAAATGCATAGTACCAAGCTATTTGTCTTGCCCCGACCTTTTTTGTTTCTTTACATCTTACTCTAGTACTTCTGAAATCTGAATGATATCTTCTGCTTGAATTTCTTTGTCATGGTCAACAAATGAGAAATATAAGGTCTCAAATGTTAATACATGACCACTATTCTGCAATAGTTTGTGTTGTCATGCACACCAGATTTAGCATTCGCTTTGTTAGATTCTCTAAAATGTGCAGCTTGAAAACTGTCCCTAGACATGAAAGTTCCAGAATAGATTGGTTTTTGGTGTCCAGTTAGGAAAAACTGAACATGCAGGTCAACAAGTATCGAAGGTCGATGTAAGTTTTGTATTAAGTCTGGTATGCTTTTTGTTGCATCTGTGTATATGATGGTATTGATTCTATCGAACTTGCTTGTTTCTAGGGAATAATTTGAAAAAGAACGAGTTAATTTTGAAATAGCTACAAATAAATTATGGTGATGAATCGGATTTGTTCCAAAAGGAGCATGTGTTTATCTCATAGATATCCTTTTGCTCATTCTCAGTGAGTATGCTGTATTTACATAATCTCCATTAATGATCATGATTATTGCTTTTCCTGTTGGGCTCTTAAGACTTTATATAGGAGAACCTCTCACTGCATAGGAAAGTATTGCTTAAATAACAGTCTTGCCGTTTGCAATGCTGCCCTATAATTTCTGGTAACTTTTAGGCTAACCCTAGTTAGTTAATTAGTTTCAGTTTCTAGAAGACCTTTTGAGCTGTGAAAAAGGGAGGTTCCAAGAATGTATTGCAATGTTGGTGGAGGTAACTTTGTACTCTTCATTCTAACCTAGTATAATTGGCGGTAATGTCAGTGCCAGTGTGCCAGAAAGAGGAGCTTTTATTGCTAACTATTTAAGAGTTCAAAACTAGTTAGAATGAATGAATTAGCTTGATTGTGTGCTTTAACTCTAGTTAGAATTTAATATTCCGTGTTTCACTTAAATCACTAACTGAAAGATGGTTCACTTAAATCACACCACAATAAATTGATTTTTCCTGGGTGCTCACCTGTGTTTGGTGTTATGTAGTGACAGAATAGTGTTTTTGGGCCAGAGTTTTTAACTGTTTTTCAGTGGCACCTGCACATAATTACTGAATAGCTCTACTTTTTGTGAGTTTCTGATGGAGGTGGTTCCAGGCTTCCAGGCGGTAAGATTTAGGAGTACTCCCCAAGTTGATCCGGCTAACCAGTTAGCGGCGCCTATAAATATCTATCGGCCTCTCCAAGCCGGGCACCGTGCGCCCCTTCTCTCCCACGAGGAAACGCAGAGTGAGCTCTCTCTCTCTCTCTCTCTCTCTCTCTCTCTCTCTCTCTCATCGTTCTCTTCTCTCCTCTCTATAAAGATTGAATTGCTTCTCTGGTTCGATTCCTCCCCATGTTCTTCTCTGTATCTGATTCTTCCCTCGCTGTATCAGCGTGCGTGACTCCTTTGATCAGAGGAAGCAGGCGGCGGGAGGCAGGCGGCGTGATCAACTAGTGGTTAGCTTCCTCTCTCTCTCTCTCTCTCTGTCTCTCTCTCTCTCGCAGATTTCGTTGGTTTTCTCCTGTTTAATTTTCTCTCTCGCTTTCTCCTTGCTGGTGTTCGGCGCTGAATGGGTTGATTCATGGTGTTTTCTTCATGAATGGGTGTTTAAAACTATATATCTGGTTATTGTTGATTAATGGTGTTTCCTTCCTGAATGGGTGTTTAAAACTCTCTGGTTATTGTTGATTTCATGGGTTGATTCACGGTGTTTCCTCCCTAAATGGGTGTTTCTGTTGATTCATGGTGTTTTGGCGGTTTCAACGCAGTAGCAGGTCACGATTCTGGGTTGGGTTCATCTGTTGCTGGATCTCTTCTTCGTGTTTTAATCCACTCGCTCTGCTGATTCTCTTTGTTTTCGTGCTTGCAGCCATGGAACGATTAAAAGTGATGAGAAATCTATGTGAAGTTTTGGGTATCGATTTTTGGGAGAAGATGGAAGAGCTCGACATTGATCCTAAAGTGGAAGAGCTCGACAACGATTGCGCTGCTTGGTTTACGGGGTGTCATGTAATGGTGGGTTTGGGTAGTTGTGATTTGTGAAGAATGCAATCTAGACATGTCACTTGGACGGCCGTGGATAGAGGGAAACACCAGTATCTTTGAAAGAACAGATGGACTTGCTAAATGTTGATGCATTCTTTTTCATGAGTGTAGTTTGCAGCAGCAAGCCAGCGCAAAGAGGTTGCCTGCTGTAATCCCAGGCTAAACTAACACTAACAGTTGACTGCTGGGTAGTAGGGAGATTATAGTTGTGTGTTTTTTGTATTTTCTTTTCTAGATCTTGTTTTGTGTTGTCTGTTTGATTCTTCTTCCTGAACTACTTGTGCCCTTTACAGATTAAGGAGCTAGGGTTGAGGCTCATTGAGCTGCGGTCTGTTATGATTGATCAGGAAATCGATTTTGCTAATGTTGTGTGTTTTATCGATGCTGCATCAGAGGATTTGATAACTCAAGAGAAAGCATTATCATCAAGATTCCTTAACAAGGTAATTCTATATATTTATGACGCTTGTCACATTGATTATCAGTAGCAATGCCATTTAAACGGTGTTCTGAAATGTAGATAAAATGCGAGGTTTCCCAACTCGAACAACTCAGCGCAAATCGCTTGAAAGAAAAGAATCTGAGGATAAAGACGAAGATAAGAGAACTTCTCAAGTGTACTCATTTGACAGGGAATGAAGTAGAAATTGATCTTGAGAAGGAAGGTATGTATTTGAACTTGTATTTGTTTCCACTCTGTTTGGTGCTTCTGTTATTCTGTAAGATAATAAGATCAGAGCAAGTTTTTTTACCCATGATGAATTGGTATCTCGAGCCTGTAGATCCTTTGTGAGCCAATCTGTTACTGTAACATCCTTGTGGTGTAAAATAGATGAGTTTGGGATGCCCTGTTTAGTTATTTCACAAATATTTCAAAATCTTAGTACTCCCTCCGGTAAAAAAAGAAGTCGTTTTAGACTTTTCAAAGTCAATGTCATACAACTTTAACTACCTTCTAGTTAACATAAGTTAAAAACAGTTACATAAGAATAATATTATGAAAGCCCTTTTATGACACAAACTTGAACATACCATTTTCATATAACAAAAACATGTTAACTACAAGCATTCCAAACAATTTGTTTTTAGACCAGAGGGAGTAAGTTTTTTAGGAGTTAAGCTGTTAGTAACCACAACATCTGGACTAATTTCAGTCCAGAAACTTGTTCTTGAAACATACTCCCTCCTAAAATAAATTTATTTTTTTATTTGTTGCAAATACTGTAGCAAGTCTGTTTTTCGGGGCTGTTGTACATCCGACACTTTCTTCTCTTACAATCTTAATAAACTTCGGCTGCCTTTTCAAGCCGGCCCGGCGAAAAAATAAGTTTATTTCTAGCCTAACATATGTCCAATAATAAGTTCATTTCCATCCACCTATCTACCTTTTCTCCATAAAATGAGGAGTTTTACCCCTTTAATACCCTTACTGTGATCTACTCACTAATTCTGCTTTCCTCTTAATGCGCTCTCAGTTCTGGAAGAATTAAAGATGCAAAAGGAGATGTTAAAAGTTGAAGTAGAGAGGAGATCGGATATTGTTATCAGGGCTGAAATATGGAGAAAATCAGTTGATCAACTTGAGGCCCTACAAAAAGGTAGCAAAAATACAAACAAAATGGAGCTGATGAGGTGTGAGTTACTAGCAAAGAGGACTGAAGGTAAAACTAGAATCTAAGTTTATTTTCAAGCAAAATATATGTATGTTTAATAAAACTCTGTATGTTTTGGCTATTAGGTATCAAAAATATCCTGGTAGAAATGGTGCAAACTTGGGAGGAAAAATATGACTCTCCATTTTCTTATGACGGGGTATATTTCCTCTTTAAACTACAATATTTTTGTTTAATCATTTTTTTTACAGTAATATCCATTCTCTGTATGTTTACAGGACCATCTCCTCACAATATTAAATGCTGATGCTAAACCTAGTTCAAGTGAAGCTGAAGGTATGCAAAAACAAAAGGCTGAAGGTATGATTCATCAACATCTAATTGCGTATTGTTGTATTAAACCCCTCACTCTTAAACCGTTCAAATTATCTCTTGATCAGAAACAGTCTTGAGTTTAGGGAAGATGCACACAGAGCTGATATATGAGTCTCCTACGATTTGTTTTTGTTAACTTGTATTGTCAAGTAGTAAGCGTTAAGCGAAAACCACTCCAGTTTTGTTTGAATGGGTAAAGTAAAAATGGTTTTAATAATTGAGGGGATTGAATATCCGGTAGTTTTAAGTTGAGATGTGTCTTTTAAGCACATCGCTTTTATATAACTTCTCTGTTTATTTGAATAGAAAGGAATGAAAAATTTAGCATTCATACTTCAATGTTTGATCGGGCTCTTGATCGGTAGTTCTAGATATAATTTACTCGTAAACTGAAATTTCTTTTTCAGGCCAAGTACCAGCACAGGATCTCAAGTCACTGCTTACGCCTCACCCAAAGCTCCGTCGCACGCCAAGGGTGCCTGTGCCACTTGAAGAACATGTCCCTCTTCAGCTACATGTAGTTGCGCCTCTGCTTCTAGTACCACCCGCTGGTGCACCACCTCCAATGGCCCAAGCAGCCCAAGCAGTTCAGGAGCTGCCTGCTCCACTACCTCTTCCAGATGTACCAGTGCAGGCTGGTTCGCCACCGACCATGATCAGCCAGTTCAACAGGAGCCGGCAAAGTCTGCTGACTTCTACAATGCTGAAGGCTCTCCAGGTGATGAAGAGACCGGCTCTATCAACGTTTCAAGTGACAATGATGATAGCGATGACAGTGACTACCTACCTTGAGTGACGACAGTGATCAGTACCTTCCTTAAACAGACTCGATCCAGTATACATGTAGAACTAAAGGTTCTGGTGTACTTTGTTGCCTTTGACGCCAGAACCAAGAAATTCGCAAGTCTGTTTTTTGGGCTTAAGTGCTGATTAGCAACCGATATCGGAACCTTGCTTATACATAAGTTTTCTTGGCCACTCAATTTCGATACCATATATATATAGAAGTCCTTCTTGATTGTCGAGACCAACGGCATGTTATCGATGCATACATATATTGGTTGTTGGCAAAATTATCCGAGGTGATACTCTTAATCCTCGGTCATACATATTTTATGCTTAGAACAAGATTTGGCTAAAATTTGAAAAGTTTGATCATTTAATAGTTTAAATTTAAAATGTATAGGTAAATTCGGCATGAAAATACTAACATAATATTATAAAGTTAATAAGATTTTACAAACATATTTGAATACAAAATTTATGGTCAGAATTTTAAAAGTTGGACTAAAATTTACTGCAAGTGTTAAATATTTATAACCGGATCTAGTAGTAGGTTGTCTCTATGGCAAAGAAGAAAAAAAAATAAAATAAAACGCATATGAACTTGATCTTGTTTCACGTCATTTGTTTAAACGAGTAAGCGCATGGATAGATGGTGTGTAGACATGACAAAAAAGATGATGCCGGAACGAGTACGCACTACGTAAACTAGATGATGCGTAGGAAAAACGATAATGCCAATCGCACCACTCAAAAACCACGTGCAATTTTAGAGTACCAATATTATTTGGATGAAATTAGTTATAGAGGAATAATCGTATTTGTATTTATAGAAAATTTCAAAGATATTAGCAGTACACTCAAATAACCCTATTTAATGTTGTTTGTAATGATAGAAATTCACTCTTAATCCATCACTTCATGCACAAATTTAATGTGGATGATTTGCTATTTCATAGTATATTCAATAAACATCATGTATGGAATAAAAGGAAGGTTGAATCATATGGCGATGGTAAGATGGGAGGGTAGAATTGGATGAGCCCACTTTATTATAAAACAATCCTTTTTTATAAGATTTGAATGATAGAAATAAAATTATTTTGGGACAGAGGTATTAGTTAAAATCAAGGGGAAAAAACTTTCACATATTTACCCAATTCTCCGTTTGATTTGTAGGAATTACATGGCACTTTTGGAAGATTCCAAACCTATAAGAAAATTTTCTATGAAGACATGTGAAATAAAAGATTTAATCTTATCTCTCAATTTTTTATGGAATGAACAATCCTATGGAGATTTTAGATGAAAGTTAGCAAGAGCTCCAACCTCTTCAAAATTTCCTTTACAAATCTATCTCCCATCTGATTCATGTGTTTTTCATGCGGTCCAATCAAACCATCTTTTCTTGTATTGCATTCCCCTATCAAAATTATGTGTTTGTTTCTAAATGATCATCCATGTATTACAATCCTCTATTTTTCACTTATATTTCTATTAAAATTTTATGTTTTTCTATTCCTATGTTCAATCCTATGTATTCCTATTTGTATTTGTCCTATAGTGGCGGCAACGGCACCAAGGGTCTTAGGAGGCGCTGGCAGTGATGGTGGTGGTAACGGTGGTGTCAGGTGGCCAGCTCGGTGATGGCATTGGCTGGTCAGCTCGATGGTGCACTAGGAGCGACGCCGGGTACAGCAGCCACGCCAACGACAGTTGTGGAGGTCGACATGGTGGCGGTGGCTCTTGAGTGAGATAAGCTATAACGGCTTGGTGGAGGTCACGATTTGCGCAATGACAACTTGGTGGCAATGGTCTTTCGGGGAGATAACCTTTGGCAGCTCGACGGAGGTGGGCATTTGCGGCAACAACGACGGTGGGACAACAGCAGCCTGGTTTGCGTTGCAGGAAGATGGCCGGCCGTTGTGCTTTGTAGCGATGAAAATGTAGCAGCGATGACTTTTGGCGATATAAGCTACGGCAGCTCAACAGAGACAGTGCTCTATGACGTTGACGCTATGATGCCATGGTTCGGGCAACGTAAGACCAATGTTTAGCGATGATAGGCGGATGAAAGGATTAGTTCCGTCCCTTCCTCCACTTATGATTGAGAGCATAAGCTTTCGGGGTGGCTGCAACGACAATGACAGAGTGAGGCGGTGAAAGTGCGGGCTCTAGTTTCGCATTGCTCTGAAGTTTGAAGTGTTGGGGAAAAGCTGAAAGCTCAGCCTTCTAGTATTTTCTTTTTAGTTGTTTGTTTTTTTTTTATATCTCAGTTATGAGATTTGGAGTGTATACGCTTGTATAACTTTGATTTTGTATATCTGCTAGTGGATATAGATACTGGATTTCTATACATTATAAGGTTTTTTATTGTCCTTGAGGTTGTGCAGTATCAAATCCTGATCGTTGATCTGGCATCATCCAACGGTCAGAAATCGTCCGCACCTCATGGTACCGCACCTCCTCATTGAAGTGGTACCATGGGTGGGAGGGTATTTCTGTCCTTTCCTGTTTCACGAGAGGAAAAAAATCGTCGGGTAAGCATCGGCGCCTGGACCGGCGCTCGAGGGGGACGGCGGCGGGCGGACGGACGTGCGGCGGCGGCGACTGGACGCGCGCTCGAGGGGGACGGCGGTGGGCGGACAGACGCATGGCGGTGGCGACGGCTGGGGGGGGCTGGACGCGACAGGCTCGAGGGGGCTGGCGGCGGGCGGACGGACGCGTGGCGGCGGCGGCGGCTGGACGTGCGGCGGCTGAAGGGGGCTAGATGCGGCGGGCTCGAGGGGGACGGCGGCAGGCAGACTGACGCGCGGCGGCGGCGGCCGGCTACGTCAGCCTCGATTGGCGACGATGACGGCGGCGGCCGGCTGGATGGGCGACGGTGGCGGCCGGCTGGATGCACGACGGCGGCGGCGGCGGCCTCGATTGGCGACGAGCTGGATGCGCGGGCTCGATGCGTGACGTCCCTGCCGGCACGAACGACGAAGAGAGGACACATGTTTTTTTTGTCTGATCATACCCTGCTAAATCAACGGCTAGATTAGATTGATACCTCATGGTACCTCCTCAAGGATGGAAAAGATGCTCATACATTATATAAAAAAAATTCAATCCTGCATTTCATTGGAGCTAGATGGATGAGACTTAGGGATGACAATTTTACCCATGGGTCCGGGTATTCGTGGATACCCGACCCGATGGGCACGGGTGTGGGTGTGACTTTTTACCCATGGGCACGCCTGCCGAGACCCGAAGACGTTAGGGGCAATAGGCGGGTTTTATTTTTTACCCGTGGGTAACCCATGCCCGACCCGATACATATGTATTAGCTAATTTTGACTCATTTCTTAATTCTTATACCATTTCTCTCGGTTCATTTGTGATGCTAATTGATACTAAGTTGTGATGTCATTCAAATTATTGTTGATAACCAATAATTTGGTAAATTATTGATTTTATTTCTCTTTGTTAAATTATATATTTTTCAAGTTATTATTCATGTGAGATCCATTGGGTACCCGCCGGGCATGGGTACGGACATGGAGTTTTGCCCGCTAACTCTAGTGGGTAGGGTTTGGGCGGGCAATGTCGGGCATCGGGTCGGGCATGGTTTTGCTCTACCCATGCCCAACCTGACCCATTGCCATCCCTAGATGAGATGTAAGGGCCGTTTTAATTGACTACCCTACTAAAATTTGCCATATCGAAACTTTGATGGACCATATTAAATCAAACCAATTTTAGCCTCACAGGATCTAAAGATTGAGGATGTTTTGTTACTGAACCAATTTCACGCACGTAAAACGCAACGGCTAATTAGTATATAATTGACTAAGTAATAACTAAGAAAACTTGAAAAACAGATTAATATGATTTTTAAAGCATATTCCTATATAGTTTCTTTTTTCAAAAAACACACTATTTAGTCGTTTGGGAAGTGTGCGCACAAAAGATGAGTTAGTGGAAGTTGGCAAAAGGAGAGTATAGAACTCAGCCTAAACTTTGCAATAACGCATTAGCGCTAGTCTGCTGGATGGCAAAAACATATGATATCTGCAAACTCATAAGCATTTTAAGTGGGTTAATTGGATCCATGTCATTGCAAATACGTTGATTCAGATAAATGCTATTACAATTTATCTGTTGGTATCCATGCTCTTCGAATTTGCACAAAATTAAAACCATACCATCATTGTCATGCTTTTCATTATCGTATAGATCAAAATACACCTAAACATAGTGTCAGTTCTATCTTCTTGCTCCATCCTCCCCTCTTCTCTCTGCCTACGAGGTCTGTATCTTCGAGTTGACCCTCGTCGCGTGTTGTTGCGTGCTGCCGCCATGTCGTCCCCCTGCCTATCCTTCCCTCGTTCGCCGAAACCTTCTCCCCCATCCTCCTCACCCCTGCGGCCACGCCGCCGCGCCGGTGTCAGTGGCAGTAGGTCAGTCCGTACGACTCCGACGGCGGTGGCTCCCTGATGGTGGTCATCTTGCGCATAGGGCAGCTCTAGCATCGAGGCAATGGAGATGGCCAGCTAGTAGAAGGGGAAGGAGAGAAAGAGAGGAGGAGGAGAAGAAATTGGGAAAGAAGCTGGAAAACATTATGGTTTTAATTTTGCTCGTTGACATTATGCATACAAATAGACGAATAGCAGTGACACTTATTTGGTATCTTATGGTACATCCTCAACACTGTAAAATTACTCATATATGATCACTTCTTTCTATCCAACCTTGCTTACTTGCTCCAACAGTCCAACTTCAACAAATACTGAAGAGCTGAAACAAATTTTGCAGAGCAACCTGAGCTCTTCAGTTAGCATGATATCACCACAAACGTAAAGTTCTCACAAAAAAAATACTGTTCACTCACACACATGTATACCCTCCGTTACAAAAGAAATGCAGCCAGGAATGCACATATAGATATAGTTGTTCAGCAATTAGTAAGACAAATTTCAAATTATTACACATTACAGAAAACAAATAAGAACCGAGTTCACACTTCACACACTGCTGAACACGAGGTTCAGCAAATACATTATTCGAGTAAAAGAGATTACAAATTAAATTTTTCACCGGGCCACTTACTCTAAATAAAATTAAGTGAACATGATAAATTATTGCTGCCATCGGTTGGCCTAATGGCTAATGCTGATTATAACTACTACATGGGTGAATCAACCTAGAACTATTTGGAGATGATCCGTTGAGCAAGAGACCGCATCCATGATCTGCTTCTCCATGGTTTCTTTCTCCTTGTCATTCCACGAATTCTCCTGCAACCTCGGCATCTCCCAGTCCCAATTTCCCTTGTACTTCAGATCCCCTCCCTTGAAAATGGAGACATGGCGCAGCGCGGTGCACGCTCCGACGACGAGCTTCACAAAGTATACCTGACTCACTGTCCCTCCAAAGCCAGCCATGGCGAACTCCTCCAAGCGATAGTTGTGCAGAGGAACGGTGGGATGATGCCATGAGAACTCGCCGCCGGTGGGCTTCTTCGCGTCGCGCGGGGCGATGTGAATGTGAAGGGTCTTGAGCGAAGGCGCCGCGTCGAGGAGGATGCGAGGCCACGACGCGTCCCAGGAGGAAGGCACGTCGGCGACCAGCAGCCGCCTCAAGCTGCGCAGCAACGGCGGCGACGGCGAGCAAGACGACGGCACGATCCATCTCTCCGGTCCGGTGAACCGGACGATCAGGTCGGTGATGTCCAGGGTGTAGTGGAAGAATCTGTCGAGCGTCAGGTCGGGTTCGAGCCAACGGCTGAACTTGCGGGCCAAGCCGTAGAGGCAGGCGAGGTGCCATTGCCGGAGGCAGGGGAAGGAGGAGGAGGAGGTGCGGCGGTCGAACAGCACCTGGGTGCCCATGGAGGCTAGGTTCTGGAGTCTCGGAAGAGACCGCAGCTTCACCGAAATGATATCGCAGGCATCGACGACGAGCTCCCTGATCTCCGATATGGGAGCGTCCACCACCAAGGACTTCCTCCGGTCGAGGAAGCATGATTCGAGGTGCAGCACTTGCAGCTGCGGGCACGAGGTGAAGACGCCCTCGTAGGCTTCCGCCGGCGTCGAGGCCGCCATGCCGTGCAAGACGAGCTTGGTGACGCCGCCGTACTCGTGCAGCGGCGGGAGCACGCAGCCGCCGAGCGTGAGGGTTCGCAGGCGTGACGCGCGGGGATCCTTGCAGAGGCCATGGCTAGGGAATTCGTGGGTGGGAGGTTGGCGCCAGTACATTGGCTTCCCGACGGCCTCGAGCTCCTCGACGCCCCAATCGTCTATGGCCTTGGAGATCAACCGGTTGATGCCAGCGGTGTTGTGCGTGCCGAAGAACTCGAGCCTCAGCCTACTGACCTTCCGCCGGCTAGGTCGGCCGTCGTCGGCGTCGATGAAGCTCTCGACGGAGCGGACCAAGGCGCGCGCGGCTCGCCGCTCGTGCCTCCGGATGGCGGGCATCAGGCTATTGGGGATGGCGTGCCGGTACGCTATCCAGTTCATCACGCCGCGGTGGCGGAGGATGCACCGGTGGTAGCGCGGCGGGAGTATGTCGCTGACCCTGAAATCGAGGGCGTCGAGCTCGTGGGGCAGATTCGTCCAGCGCCTGGAGAGCATGCCGGTGGCGAGCGCCGCGCGGGTGTCGAGGCGGCGGAGGACGAGGAGGAGCAGGTCGTCGGGGAGTGCGCTGAGGCGGTCGTCGCCGCAGGCCTCCCGCGGCCGCCGGCCTCTCGGTCTCAAGCTCATCCTGGCCATGGTAGATCTACCTCCTATTGCTGGGGGGATCAAGCAACCAGTAGAGATGGCCTTGCGGCTGCGGTGGCGATTAAATAGAGGCGTCCGCATCGACCTCCTCGGGTTCGGATTCACGATGCCCGCCGCCGGAGGAATTCGAGTCGGATTGGCAGAGGAATTAAAAGGCTAGGGAAATTTGTGAATCAGGAAACTTCAATCCTATCGCCGGCGAGCATAGGATTGGGGAATTGGGGGTTGGGTTTTCAGGCGGTATAATTAAAAGGGATAAACTTTTGACGCGATTAAAAGGGATAACTGAATTCATGCCGTTGTAAATATGGGCATGTTTAGTTTCACATAAAAGTTTTACGCTCTATCATATCGAACGTTTGAACAATGCATAAAGTAATAAATATAGGTTAAATTAGTTTTTTATTAGTGCCCAAACACCCTATGTAACACCATACATAATACCCAATATGATACGCCAAAACTTTACACCCCTAGATATAAACACTCTCTGTATCGATTTAGACAAGAAACACACAAGTTTTACATACACGCCAACTAATAAATATTTTTAAAAAATTAGACATGTACTTTATTACACATATTCGTGAAATTTTATGGTCAAATTCATTATATTTTAGTTGTAAAAAGACAAAAATTCTGACGTACTTTTCACTCTTAAAACTTAGAATTTTCTTTTTTTTTGTTACAGCTAGAATATAATGGATTTGAATTAAGATTTGTAGATATATGTAATACTATTCAGAGTACTAAAATTTTATATGATATTTGTTAGTACCCCGTGATTCAAGATAAGAAGGAGATCGACTGAATAGAGATATCACCGCGTCCATCGATTGGTCGATCGGTTGTTGCTGGCCATGGCGTCGTCGCGGATGGAGGAGGACGCTGCTAAAGGTCATCGTCCTCGGTGACAGTGGGTCAGCGCACGCTACGCTAGTCCTGGTTTATCTTAGCCTGATTCTCATAGCTCTAGCTCTACTTCATGGTGCTTGTTTAATTTCGCCCTTAGCGATTCCTGAATTGGATTGGTCGTTTGGTTTTGGTGTTTGCAGGGTGGGGAAGAGCTGATGAACTAGTATCCTCTTCATCTTTTTTTTCACAAACACGCAAAAAAAAATACATGTCAATATATTAGAAGAAAAGAGAGTTTATTTACACACTGCAATCAGACAGATCGGCTTATGCCAAGGAAAAAAGACAAATCAGAAAAACCAAAGAAAAGGAAGAGAGAAACGACTGCTAGACGCAACTCCAATTAGCAGGAGGGGGCAAGGCCACACTACCCTTCTAAAAAAACCCCAAAAAAAAGTGACACCAGCTAACGACCAGAGATGGCCCTCAGAAAATATGGACTCTAAGACCACAGAGACCGAAGAGAGAACAAAGTCGAAAACCCTAGTATCCTATTCACATCCATAGCATCAACCTTTGTGTCAGACTGATAGTTTGTTGCGTAGAGATCTTTAGATATCCTAGTGCAATCTTTCAGCATATAAGGTCTATTTGTTTTGGAGAAATTTCAAAGGATTTGGATGGATTTGGATTCCTAAGAATTAATTCTTATGAATGCCAAATGTAGATATAGAAAAACCAAAGAGAATTTTCCTTTTCTACAAGTTGTAGAGAGAAAGCACAGGAAATTTTCCATCCACTCAAAACCTTATGGAAAAATTCCTATGGATTGAGTTGTGCATGCATTCTCATTCCTCCATTTTTCCTATTTCCATGTGTTAAAATTCCTCCAAAAACAAATAGACTCTTATCTTCCTTTTTTTTTACAATTAGAAACTTGCATTCACTTAAGTAACCATAATTTCTTTCAGAAAAAAGAGAAAATTTTTAAGCAGAAACAATCTTCAGGACACCAAAAAGAAAGATCATTGCTTGGATTTTCTTCCACTCTTGATTAGATAGTGAACACGAAGTTTAGCCAGCAGTACAAGGCAACGATTTCGTCGGCAAGGCTTGTGAGCTTGTCACCTTGCAGGTCAGGCTCGAAACGGAAATCTTCTGAGAAAACAAACACCGGCCGTGTTTGGTTGTTTTGGCAAAAAAAAAATAACGTATACTAACACATATTTAAAGTATTAAACGTAGACTAATAACAAAACAAATTATAAATTTCGCCGGTAAACTGCGAGACGAATCTCTTAAGCCTAATTAATTCGTCATTAGCAAATGTTTACTGTAGCACCAGTACACCACATTGTCAAATCATGACATAATTAGGCTTAAAAGATTTGTCTCGCAATTTATATGTAAATTGCGTAATTTGTTTTTTTTTCGTTCATATTTAGTGCTTCATACGTATGTCTAAATATTTGATATGATAAAAAGATTAGAAGTTTGGAGGGAAATAAACACACAGCCACTGCCGCAATTCGCAAATGACCAACGATCTGCGATTCGATCGCTCAAACGATGAGTAGACCAAAGCGACCGCGCTCATGACATCTACAGCCCCAGCCCGTGCAGCTTTAAGCAGTATCAACTCAAATCGATCGCATGGCACATCTGCACGCCTCTAGAAAATAAATCAGCTATAAATATATTTTAAGAAGATAAAAGAAAGATAAGAGCAGCGGACTATAAATTTAGCCAGCTACAGCATAGACTTCAAAATACATGTGTGTACGACAGGTGGGATCAAACATTAATTAATTATATAGTACATGTTTATAGGTAATTATTATATGAATTAGCTATTAAATTGACTATAGATAATTTAGAGCAATAATTAGTTGTACTTTTAAACTTGCTCTATGACATCACGATCAGAGAAACCACGAACTTGATCGCTCCTGCAGATCGAACGGTGAAAACGTGAACGCTGAACGATGAGATCATTAAAAACGGCAACGGAGAGATATGAGTGCTTGACACAATTGGCCCGTTTATTCTGTTCTATCCACGACTCTCTTTTTCTTTTAAAAAAAATCGTTTTTATGGGTTCGGACTTCGGAGTTCTCTTCTTCGAGCAACGCCGAGGCCGACGCTAATAGATGGGCCGGGCCGGTAAGATTTGACAGAATGGGCCCGTTTCTTTTCTATCTTTTTGTTTTTTCAATTTTCTGGTTGAGTAGGGGTTCGGAATTTTCTTCCACGAACCCCCGTTTTCCGCAGCTACTATGCTTTTCCCTCGCTCCCCGTGCGCCCCGTGATTCAAGATAAGGAGGAGATCGACTAAATAGAGAGATCACCGCGTCCATCGGATTGATCGATCGGTTGTTGCTGGCCATGGCGTCGTCGCGGAGGCGGACGCTGCTCAAGGTCATCGTCCTCGGCGACAGCGGGTCAGCACGCTACGCTAGCTCATCCTTGGCTACAGACCCGGCCATTTCTTCCTAGCTTGATTTCGAATCGCTCTAGCCCTGCTTCTGTCAGCTTGATTTCATGGTGCTTGTTTGATTTTTTCCCTGACTCCTGACTTGGATCGGTTATTTGGTTTTGGTTTTGGTGCAGGGTGGGGAAGACGTCCCTGATGAACCAGTATCCTTCTCCTCCATAGCTGCATATCATCGAGCTTTTTAGTAGTATCAATTTTGCTCAGTTAGCTGTAGATTATAGTGAAATCCTCAGAAGATAAATCTCAATATTTTCTACTACTACCTTTCATTCATTTAACCGGAATTACATTCAGAAAAAAAGAAGAGATATTTTTAACTAGAAACAATCTTCAGCACACCACAAATATCGGTGCTTGGATTTTCTTGAACTCTTGATTAGATACGTGAACAAGAAGTTTAGCCAGCAGTACAAGGCGACGATCGGCGCCGATTTCGTCACCAAGGAGGTTCTCATTGAAGACAGGCTTGTCACCTTGCAGGTCAGCCTCATACACCCATTCAATTTGGATGCTTTCTATTCTCAAAAAAATTTGGATGCTTTCACATGAAAGTTGCCATCTGGCTGTCATCAGTATTGAGTTTTCTTGGATGTAGATCTGGGACACGGCAGGACAGGAGAGGTTTCAGAGTCTCGGTGTGGCGTTCTACAGAGGTGCAGATTGCTGTATGCTAGTCTACGATGTCAATGCTAAAAGATCTTTCAATGCACTCAACACCTGGCATGATGAGTTCCTCACCCAAGTAAGTCATTTTTATCAGGATATTTTCCTTAAAAGTTTTTAGCATCTGCAATTACCTCTTCCATTGTGGCCATGCCTGATGCCTGTACTAGTTCAGAGAAGCAATGTCTGCATCATCTGTTAGTCATATGCAAACTGAAGGCATACAGCAAAATGCCAAAATGGCTGCTGCAGGCTGAAAATTTAATGTTGCTTGGTTAATATCAATCAATTTGAACTAGTTATGAAGAACCTGACAAGTCCATTTTACATTTCAGAGGAAAAAGAAAAGTAGTACAGCATTTTTGTCCTATTTTAACAGTACTGGAAGACTGCAACTGAAAAATTTCGGCTCCTTTTTTAGGCTAGCCCATCAGATCCCAAACATTTTCCCTTCATATTACTCGGCAACAAGATTGACATAGATGCCGGAAACAGACGTGCCGTAAGTTACTTGAACATTCAAACTTCTGTACAACAGTCCAGTACACTTCCTTTTTTTTTCTTTTTCTGAACGAAATCCAGTGCACAGACATTGACAATTTGACATTTCTGTACTGTCTTCCCGGCCACAGATCCCTGAGAAGAAAGCAAAAGAGTGGTGCGTCTCCAAAGGCAACATTCCGTATTTCGAAACCTCTGCGAAAGACGACTACAATGTTGACAGTGCTTTTCTGTGCATTGCCAAGCTTGCTCTGGAGCATGAGCATGATCAGGACATGTAAGTGAAACACCTTCAGTTTCTTGTTTGCATCTGAAGTGCTTCAAGCCTAAACAAATCTAGCATTAGCTGTTTACTAGTCATCTTACACCTGTTTCTTCTCTATCCCCAGCTACTTCAAGACTGTTGCACAACCAGCCCCTGATACTGAACATACCAGCGGATGTGCTTGCTAGCACTTTGGATGCTTTTGTTCATTGGCTGAGAATGAAATTATACAATTATAAGTTGTTATGGACTCACAGTGTACAATAAGCTCGCATAAGAAACTGTTACTCGCTTGTGTATCCATTTTTTTAACCTAGGCTGTGTTTAGATCCAAAGTTTGGATCCAAACTTCAGTCCTTTTCCATCACATCAACCTGTCATACATCCACAACTTTTCAGTCACATTATCTCCAATTTCAACCAAAATCTAAACTTTACGCTGAACTAAACACAGCCCTACTAGTAGAATACTATACTAGTAATAAGCAGCTTCTGCTTGCATCTGCCCAGCAGCCCAGGTAGGAAAAGACTAACTGGAATAGCAGTTCTGACTGTTCTGTCGGTGTCGGTATTCTGTGTAGAAGTACTTGTATAGCAGTTGACCTCTTCATTGTCAGCTGTAACAAAACATACAGTTGCTTTCCAGTTTACAGTAGTAGTTATGAATTCATCTTTCTCCCCAAACAGTGCGATCGCATGTGCTATATAGTTCATTTGATGGCTCACACTGTTCAGAGATGGGGGTGCCCAGTGACGCTGACCGAAATGTTCAGACTTCAGGCTCTTCAAAAGTTGTAGTACTAGTACTTTTCTAACGATTGCACAAGGCTGATTCAGAGATTCAGATTTCGACCCTGCCCTGATGGCGATCCTGAAACTTGACGACGGCGTGTTGGGAAACCATGCAGCAGCAGAAGCAGGGAGGGATCTGTCACTCTGTCCGCGCCGATGAGGACATACAGGTAGCGAGCGTACGCTGCCGGTGGTGGCCGATCGAGCCGAGACGTTGCTGTCCGTCCGTCCATGCAACGACGCTACCCCCAGGTCGTCGGGCTGGATAGGCCACCAAGGCGACGACGGCCGGACAACCTTGACCCCGGTTCCGGGACCTTGCTGACCTCCTTCTCGGATCCTGCCGGGTTGCAGGCGAGAAGCTTCAGAAAAAAATGGCAGGAGGAGATCAAGGTCAGAGGACTCGTTGAATGCGACTCTCAGCCGTCGCTCTCCTTCCACCTGCTTTTCAGTTTCCGGAAAAAGGAAATAAAAGCTTCTCTCAGAGCTAGTATCTCTGGTGTGATTCTTCAGCTAGCTCACTGAACGATCGCGTGGGTTCATACTTCATACTAATAAAAGTAGAGTAGTAGCTAGTACTCCTTTCGTCCTTGAATACAAGAGATTGATGTGACATCCTAGCACAGCAAATCTAGACAAGTTTACTGTCTAAATTCGTTGTACTGTAATGTATCATATCCAACCAAAAATTCTTATATTTAGGAATAAAGGGAGTACTAGTTTATGCAGCATGCCATGTGTATGTGTGTACATGAGATGAGGTCCAATTCTCGTGTTCAATTTGTGACTGTGTGTTGCTGATTGAATAATGGATAGTTGGATACTAGTGATAGCAGCACACAGAGTTGAACATAGCTTCGTTGTTTAGAATTGTTAGAATCCACTAATGAATGCGACATGCGAAAAGGGGTTAATTCGTAGAGTGTTTTAACTAAAACAGAGTCCAAAAACACGCGACTGTGCCTATGAACAAACTCTTCATTAACATTCCCGTGGCCTCGTGGACAATTGGTTGGCATTTTATATGTGTCCGTTGAATTTTTGTCAAACCTATCGGTTGATGGAACGGTGTGCACCGCGAACTCACACGAACACCTATGTTTTTTTTTCTTTCAATTTTGGTATGGTTTCCTTTTCTAATAAATTTATAGGCCGAATATTTATATGTCTACTTCCTATTTGTATTTGAATTCTGATTTGGATTCAAATGTTTTTATATATAGTGTTTCTATATTAAACTTTTCTACGTATATTTACTTATATGTATAAATATTTTGGATATTTCTGATGGTGGACCAAAACGTATTCTTCTTATGTCTAAGCCACCGTGAACATCTACCTATTACACTAACGAGCACCAGATGGTAGTTGTTGAAAGAATAGTAAGATTAGACCTTACCACACCAAGTGGTGAATCCAGAAAGAAATAGTAAAGGGATTAAACAAACTAGCTAAAGTTAGAGCTCTTCTCACACGTATGTAAAGCAAAAAAAAAAAATAGCGAGGGTCCCCACGATAGATCCATCCCGACCACGTACACCATATCCGGATTATCCACAAGGATTTTGGAGGAAAAAAATGGTATTAATATATTTTAAATTAGTTTCAGGCTTTCAGCCGGCAGATATTCTGCACTTAGATACATGCATGCATGTCCGGTTTCGTTATCCGAATGGGCCGAACAAAGTGGACGTCAATCGCAATATCTTACGCTAAAAAGAGCTTCCTGGGCCCTTCTTAATCCCCACGTGCTTGATTACCCAAACAACGAATTTTTTTCGGTTTTAGATTTTTTTTTTAATATTTATAGAAATAATCTATCGGCCAAAAAAATTACAAAAATAGACCCTGCCGCCCACCTCTGGGGCGGCAAGCTGACGTGGCAAACGGGGGAGGAACGGGCGGTGACGGAGGGAGGGTTTTTTTGCAGGAAAACCCTTGCCGCCCTCTGGTGGGGCGGCAAGTGGCCCGAATGCAAAAAAAAGTCAGTCGGGGCCGGCTATTTTGCAGGCGGCCCCTTGCCGCCCTCTGGCCGGGCGGCAGGCCTCACTGCCTATAAAAGGCCTGCTGCCCAGCCCCTAGCCCTCATTCTTCTCTCCTCAATTCCAGTGAAAAAAAAAGAAGAGAGGGGAGGAGAAGAGAAGAAGGGGCGAAGCCTTGCCGGATTCAGACGCCGATTTCAGGTAATATTCATAGATCCTATATGTGACTATTGAGTTAAATAGTGTGTATTCTTTAAAAATTTGTTTGAATAAATGCATTATATTTTTAGGGTTTTAGTTGTACTAATCTAGAAGTGCGTATTGTAGATATCGGTAACTACGTAGATTTGCTAGTTTGGAATCAATACATTACCGTTGCATTGGCTTACACAAGATATTACGTTGTAGATGTTTATTGCATGAAAGAGTAATATGATCTAGTTATTTCGTTGACAGATATGTCGAACAAACAAATATTCCAAGTTTACCATGGACCAGGAAACGTCCGTTACGGGCCAACTGGGGTAGATCTGTCAGATTTTATTGTATCAGAAAGGGGAATTGATAGACCGGCTGAGAGGAGTGTACCTTCTATAAAAGGATGGTTAATGAGGGGCTTGAGAGTTGATCCACAGACAAGTGACATAACAATCAATGTTATAGTAAGTCGGGCAACTGAGGGTTTTTATTGGGAACTAATGCCAGTTCAAAACTCTCGAGTGTGGAGATGGTATTTGGAAAATGCATTGCAACGCGGGTGGCCTCTAGCTTTGGTTCCGTTTGTTCACCCGAAGGATCCAGGTGTGCAGATGAACATGGATGATGGCGAGGGACCAAGTGCTAAAGTAAACGAGACTTCTGTGGAGGAGGTCAACGCACGAGAGGACGGGGACGTAGTAGCTCCAGTGGGCATTCAACTAGGTGGAGTGGCCGACGAGGGGGAGACTGTCGGTGCCATTGTGGATGAAATGGAGAGGGAGGATTCTGACAACGAGCGTGTAGAGGAAGGTGATTCGTCAGATGATGAGACGGATATTAATCCAGCAGAATGGGCTAGTGAGGATTTTTCTGGGCTGATCGTCTCTGAAGAGGATAGTGTGAGATGGGAGTACAAAGAAAATGAGGTTATTCAGGGAGCGATTTATAGTAGAGCAGAAGATATGAAGGAGGCGGTAAAACATTTTGCAGTGTCACTTCATAGAGAGTTTAGGGTTGCCAAGTCGAACCGGTCGCAATATGAAGTTCGGTGTGTTAAGGAAAAAGATGGTTGTCCCTGGAGAGTGCACGCGTATAAGGGGAAATGGAAGGATTATTGGACAGTGTTAGTCGTTACCAAGCATACATGTTTTCTACCTGGTAATGTTATGTTATATTATTGAACTCTACATATATGTTAAATTGCACGTCATCGTTATGTACCATTAGTAATGTTTGCTATATTTAAATAGCAACTTGTTGTACATAATTAATCTCATGATTTTATTACTATTTCATAATTTTGCAAGTTATCTTTTGTTTTACATTACTATTTTTGAATTGTTCTAACACGAAACACTATATTTTTCAAAGATGGCACGTCAGGATACACCTCAGTTGTTGGACCCGGCGATAGATCACTGACACCGGTCTCACCTTACTGCGGTGCAGGGGGCTCAGCTTGGGACGTTCCGGGCACGTACGTGCGGTGAGCTACTCACGGTTCACGACTCCTTTGTCGAGAGGTACGAACAGTGTTTTACTATAAGTTAGTTGCACTGTAATATTTTTTATAATGACATATTAATTTGTTATTGCAGGCTACGTGAGGCCGGCCTCCTACCGATGTGTCGGCTGGTGGAGGCTGCAGCCGGCGACGCGGACCCGGCCAGACGATGGACTGTGGACAGGTCCCTCCTAGCAGCTTTGGTCGATCGATGGAGGCCAGAGACGCACACTTTTCACTTGCCGTGCGGTGAGGTAGCCCCTACCCTACAGGACGTATCGTACTTGTTGGGGCTACCGCTCGCGGGAGACGCTGTTGGGCCAGTGACCACGGCTGTGGACTGGGAGGACGATCTGACGGCACGTTTCGCACTAGTACAGCGCGCACCGCACCTCCCGCTCGAGCCGTTGGCACACCACCGCAACACCGGACCTACGAAGAGGTGGCTGCTTCAGTTCACCGTGAGTGTTTTTGTACCGAAATGACAATCGTATTACATATTTAGTCCGCAGTTAAGGTGTCTAACATTTTATCGACTGCTTGCAGGTTGAGCAGCTACAGGCGAAGGCCGACGAGTACTCGTACAGCCGATGTTTGGAGGCGTACTTGCTCTGGCTTTTTGGCTGGGTGATGTTCTGTGGCGGTCACGGGCACGCCATCGACAAGGGACTCGTGCACTACGCCAGGAGCATCGCCGATGCTGCAGTAGGCGAGGTGCCTCAGTGGAGCTGGGGTTCCGCGTTGTTGGCGGCTCTGTACCGTGCACTTTGTGAGTCTTGCACGAAGACGGATCCCAGCGCGACCTTTGGTGGGTGCCCTCTCTTTCTTTCTATCTGGGCAGCTGAGAGGATTGCGATCGGCCGCCCTGAGGTGGACCAGCACGCGTACGAG